TAGCATATCCTGATTTAAAAAAAAAGTGAAAAATAAATCATAGGAATTATGCTCTATAAAGAGTTAAGCCTTTAAAATTTACTATTTTCGAGATAATACAAGAGTCTACCTTAATCTTTGTGGTAGCTCTGAAATTGGATCATGAGGATAATTATTAAATACTATTTATCTTTTTAAAAATTTAAATATTCCAATCTTCTAATGGCAATGGCAAATTAAAATCTATTGAAAATGTAAACAAACGAGAATAGCCCTGCGATGTCTTGAAGACATGAGATATGACGACATTTTTTGATATCTTAAATTAAAATTAACACAATACTATGGATGCATTTTGTTTATCTTGGTTTTTAATATTTAATAATAATAATGCATATGTTGAGAAAAAATAAATACAAATATTTATGTTTGCATTATACCAGGGACTGAAACTTTTATGTAACTTTTTAAAAAGTTCCATTTAACAGTTTCTGTGAAACTTTTTAGTAATAACTTAGTAATAACTGTAGTAATAACTATAGTAATAACTGTAGTAATAACTTAGTAATAACTTTTAGTAATAACTGTAGTAACTTTTTAGTAAGTTCCAGATTCATGGTAGAAGTTTAACTTGTATTTATTCAAATTCTTAAAAAAATTGTCATTAAATGGAAAATAAACAGCAGTTGGCTTAGATTAAAGTTACAATTCATCTTAAATGAATTACACATGGTCCTAACGTGCCGTTTGTTTGATTAGCTAAGAATGAAAGTCATTTTTTAGATTGACTTTTTAGTAAAATCAACAGAATTTTTAATTAAAATTAAAAAAATTAAAGTTCTGTAAATCCTTTACTTGAAAAGTTACAAGGGAAATAGTTCCAGTTCCAAAAGAACTGAAAAACTATCAATAATAAATATTCAGTGATACTGAAAATTAAAAAAAAAAAATATATATAAGTTTTTTTCGTTTCAAGCCAAGCACTATACCACTACTAAATTATACTCATCTCCAAAGAAAATCAGAGGAATATGCAAAACAAACAAAAAAATATTCAATAATTATATATGGTTGTTAATATATTTTATTCTTAATAAGTGAGAGAACTACAAACCAAGAATTCTGCTCTTCTAGACTAACTAAATACGTATCAGCTTACAAAATGCTGATTTAATAAAAGTTTCTGGATAGCTGAGACTTATCGTTAAATTTAACTGTAAAACTTATTTTGCTGTTAATATAAAAAATATTTACTGAGGGGCAAACTAATTTCTTAATAAGTGAACAGTTGTTTTGATATAGCCATTATTAAGTATAAAAATACACCTATTGTATATGCTGAATAAGTTTTCTTAATAATAGTTTATAGATAAACACGTTTCCTTAATTTTGCTTATGCTTCAAGTGTATTAAGAAAGATCTAATGTGAGAACTCCCACTTATTCATTAATTTATATATATATATATATATATATATATATATATATATATATATTTTAACCCACTACCTACAATACTTCCTATAACTTAAAAGGGGAGGTTATGGATGAAGGATGACCGATTTCTATGAAACATTTTTAAGTGATACTAGGTAAAAAAAAACAGGGTTCTTGTCCTAGAAAATTGGAGCCTAGATTTTTTTTTTTTTTATATATTACTGTTTTCTGACTTAGCTGCTCTGCATGGATTTCAGATCCATGGTATAATTTTTATTAAGGCATGAACCTGTACCACTACAACCCATGAAGGGTCTTGGATTCACAACTATTTAGGGAAAGTACTCTTTCTTGGTCAACGGTTGTACAAGGAGGTGATTTGAACTCAATTGTCAGGTTTTTCCCCCTTACTTAATTATGGTTACCCACTTTATAGAGACTATTTGTGGTGTTTGGTGAACTAAAGATATGTGAGTAGGGCGTTCAATCCTACGTCACACCCTCCAGCAAGTCTGGTGGGCCCCATGTTAGATGTTAGATGTTAAGAATAGGTTTGAAGCTTTAGAGCTTCCTGACGAGGACCACGAGGATATTGACAAGTTATGGGTAGAGATCAGGGATAATATTAAAGCGGTCGGTAACTCGTGTCTAGGAAAAAAGGAAAATAAGAATAACAAACCGTGGTTTGATGAAGATTGCTTAAACATGTGCGAAAAACGAAAAGCCGCTAAATTAAAAGCTCTAAATAATCCTAGCGAAGACAATCTGGAATACTTCCGAACCTCAAAGAACGAAACGACAAAATTGCTCAAAAATAAAAAAAGGGAGTATCTTAAAAATAAAATAATTGAAATAGAAACTAATAAAATCGAAAATAACGTAAGAGACATGTACAAAGGTATAAACAGATCACGTAAATGTGTAGGGTCCGTAACATCTGGAATTAGGGATGATAATAACAATATTCTGACCGATCCGGTTGACATATTGAATAAATTTAAGGACCACTTTGACAATATATTAAATACGGGAAATTATGATCTGTGTCCTCCTTCTGAGTACCAGAGCGCTGAACCGTTGATAGAAGAACCGAGTAAAGAGGAAGTTGAATTAGCTATCGGAAAATTAAAATCTTATAAAGCAGTGGGAACCGACAATATTCCTACTGAACTAATTAAGGCATGCGGGGAAGCTGGAGTTTCTAAAATACATCGGTTGGTTAAAAAGATCTGGGTGAATGAGAAATTACCTGAAGAATGGAAAGAATCTATTCTTATTCCAATTCACAAAAAGGGTCCGAGGACGGATTGTAATAACTATCGAGGAATTTCACTCCTTCCGGTATGTTATAAAATATTTACTTTAATCTTAACCAGTCGAATAACGGAATACGCCGAGGAAATTATCGGAGACTACCAATGCGGATTTAGACGGAATCGCTCGACTATTGATCAAATATTTTCTTTACAGCAAATATTAGAGAAAAAATTGGAGTACAACGGTATTGTTCACCAGCTGTATATAGATTTTAAAAAGGCTTACGATTCTATTGACCGCCAGAAACTGTATAATATTCTAATCGAGCAGGGGATTCCTAAAAAATTAGTAAATCTAGTCAGGATGTGCTTGACGGAGACACTCAATAAAGTTAGAATCGGTAATAATCTGTCCGAAAAATTTGAGGTTCGTTCGGGTTTAAAACAGGGGGATTCCCTTTCGCCTGTACTGTTCAATTTGGCATTAGAACATGCCATTAGGGAGGTAATGCGTACCAAGAAAGGGTTGGATCTGGGTGGGACAACATCCGTGCTGGGCTATGCTGATGATCTGGTACTGTTAAGCGAAGACCTTGAAACTATAAAACTAAATACGACAACGTTAATGAAAGCCGGTAAAGAACTAGGACTCGAAATAAACGTGGATAAAACAAAATATATGGTTAGCTGCAAAAATGGCGATACTACTGGTGATATCGATATAGATGGTAATATGTTTGAACAGGTAGAGAAATTCAGGTATCTAGGTTCTACGATAACTAGAAAAAACGAAATTGAAGAAGAGATTAAGGTTAGACTGAAGGCGGGAAATGCTTGTTATTTTTCTGTGACAAAACTACTTAGTTCGCGCCTCTTGTCCCGGAACTTAAAAATTAGAATCTATAAAACAATTATCTTGCCTACAGTTCTTTATGGATGCGAAACTTGGCCGCTTACATTAAGGGATGAGCAGCGTCTTAAGGTTTTTGAAAATAAAGTATTGCGTAGAATATTCGGACCGAAGAAGGATGAGTTAACCGGAGAGTTCAGACGGTTACACAACGCCGAATTGCGTGAGCTGTATCCGGGTAATATAATTGAGGTAATTTCATCACGGCGAATCAAATGGGCTTGTAAAGTTGTTGGACTTAGTAACGAGAGAATTCCTAAAAGGTTAATATTTGCTGTGCCGAATGGTAAGCGTCCGAGGGGTAGACCGAAGCGAAGGTGGGAAGATTGCATTAAAGCTGATCTGAAGGGACTGGGTTTGGACGGCGAACGGTGGAGGGAGGTGTGTAATAAGCGATTGGTGGTGTCGGCATCGAACCTTCGGGTTCGCTAAGCCTTTTTATTTATTTATTTACTTTATAGAGACTGGGTATGCCCAAGGAGGGTCTCCTGTCCCCAGAGTAGCCCCATGGCTGATGAAACATAATAAATAGTCTTTCTGCCATGAGCCAGGATTTGAACCCGGAACGTTGAGCATTGGAAGCACCGCTCTCTACCATTGAGCTCCCCCACTTACCTTTATTAAGGTATAATGTGTAAAATTCATGCTTTATTCTTATTTCCGGATTGAGTCTCAACATTTTGTGCATGTAATCTTATTTTCTATACCTGTCCAGTTTATAATAAAATATATATTAGGCAAACTGTTATTTTTGTGTACAATATTAAAACAATTAGTACTGACCTAAGGAGTAAAGAGGCTTCAAATATTTTTTTAAGGAAAACCAAAGTTAAGATTTGTATTTTGCACCTTGAAAAATCCTTAATTATGAATTTTCATACCAATCGAAATATGAAGATTTTTTGTTCAAAATAAAAAAAATTGTAACAACTTCGACATGGCTCCATGTATCCACAAGAAAATTAGCATGAATTAAGGGCCCTACAATATACACAAGATGGCACAGACCAGATATCTGTAAATAAATTAGGCTTTGTGATAAAAATTAAAAACATTTGAGGAATTATACGTTTCTTATCAATTCCTTATAAATGCGTAAAATCTAAATGTTATTAGCACGATTTTGAAGAGCAATAATTTAGCTTTCTAGCAATTGTCGTAACGTTGAAAGAAAAAAATCCTAAGGAGTTATATAGATATATATTCACACATGCAGAATGAATTAAGAGAAACAACTGAAACTTTAGAAGTTGATTATACATCTAAAAATTCAAAGGTTTCAATTAATGTTATATATATATTTACGTATATATGTATTACTAGCCATAATATCTCAAATAAATAGCCCTGTTCAGAAAGATTTATTTATTTTTTTTATAAAAAGCATGGATTGGATAACAATAGAAGAAAATACAATACCTGCGCTCTATTTTATGAGCTACCAAATGCTGTTCAAGCATCTCCTTATCAGGATAGGCCATATTACATTCGGGGCAACAAAATAGCGTTGTCCCATCTAATGCCACAGCTATTTGAACTTGGCCTGGTCTTGGTCGTCTGGGCTTAGGAGCCTTTTTCTTATATTTTTTTTTCTTTTTTCCTTCTTTATTCTCCTGTAAGATAAAAAAGGAATTAAATTAAAATTTATGTAAAAACATCTAGATTTTGAAGTCCTGAATTCGTGGAATATAATTTTAAACTTCCTGTAGACCAAATCAGAAAATTTTTTGACAAAAACTACGATGTTTTAAGAAAATATGTTATGTACACAAGACGGAATGATAATCCATGAAATAAACTGGTGGTCAAAAAAACTCAAACACCTTAAAGTATACATAAGATTAAAGAATTATTTTTGAGCATGAAATAATAACAGGTATATGACAGGTCAAAGGGAATTACCATGCTTAATCATTTGAAGAAATTCTTCTGATTTTTTCTAGGATTAACAATAATAGCATTAAAATAAGATGGGAACTTCATATCAGTTTGTCTCCAGTTGCCTATGAAATCGCATTGGTTTTGATTTTGTGTTATTTTTTTCTTGAAAAACAATATTTCATTTGTATCAAACATTTTTAAAAAAATAAAATGGTTTTGGATCCCTTGGCAGTTGATCAGATTACTGAATTAATTGAGAAAGGCTGACGTCAGCAATACATGGCGAAATTTTAGTAGAAATCAAAGAGTTATCTGTATCATATTATTTTATTATACGTCATATTTTTTCTGTAGGTAATTTATTATATAGTATAGGTATTTTCTCCATATCTATCAATGAGGGGACCTTCATTAACTATTTTTTCATCATTTTGGATTGAGGCTAAGAAAATTACCTTGAATAACTATTTTAAACCTTTGGTCAAGAAATTGGACTGTGTAAAATGGTCTTTCTAAGTTCAAAACTTGCTTAATTGTTCATAAAGAAATTTTCACGCAGCTAACACAAACAATAGCAATGGAAATGACAGTATACGAAAAGTTGAAAAGCCATTAGAGCTTAGGATCCCTGAAGCACATTTTGATTCTTAAGTTTTTGATTATTATGAATTTTTATGTCTCCCACACTAACATAATATATAACAGCTATGTAATTTGTTAATATATTCTAGTTCTGTTAAAGATATAATTAAATTAGCTGAAACAAAAGCATTGAAAATATAAAAAGAAATTAAGTTGAGAGCTGCAGATACCACGAGTGAAATACTCCTTCGATTCCATCAGCTTTATCAGCTGCTTAACTCTCTCACATATTTTAATGTGTCTACATGAGGTATATAGGAAATCTAAGGCTCTTTCAAAATTAATTATAATGCATTTATTAAAGAGATGCATAGATTATGCATTATGTTTTGGGGGGGAAACGACAAAACGGATATTTATTGTGAAATAAGCAAACAGTCAACATTCACTGAATCCTCACCAATTGGGCCTGCATCAAAAAGCTATATATAAAATTGATAATAAATTTTCTTTTTTTTATCTCTGTATATAGTAATAATTTTGATGAAATTCATAGTTTCGGAATCATTTCTAAAAAAGTTTGGAAATTTCTCTGCATATTTCTCAGAACGCAATGGAAAATTTAGTTCGGAAACTTCAAATTCAGATTCAGCATCCCACAAAACATAAAATGCAACCGAGTATATCGTCACTCAAGGGGAATTCTCTTTTAGGGGCATATTCTCGACATCATATCAAAATTTCAGCCATATGTTCTTCTGTTAAATGAACCATCAAATTTCGCCTCTTTAATTTAAATTTTCATATAGAAAGCAACAGCTTTCGACCAACTGACCGAAGTTGTGTGTTCTGATGAGGTTTGTCCAGAATTAGAATGGTTACTAGCTTTAAGTCCTTCCATTAAATGAAATGGTCAGTAGCTCTTAGTCTACTAGCTATTTCTTTGTTTAAAACTGTGAAGAATTTATTTTGAGATGTTTTCATTATATAAAAAAATATCATGACCCCAAAAACTGGATGTCTATTAGTCGTCCAAAATACAACTAATTTCAGAATTTCTTAAGTTTTTCCTGAATAATAAACTAATTGACATACTAGAAAAAACGAAATTGGTAAAAGACTAAATCTGCTGTCAATTAAACTCATTTACAAGGATCTAGCGTTACAACTTAAGTTGTGATTCACATTAATGTTGTAAAATTCTCTCAAAGTGTCTATTACTGGTCTATTGTCTTAATATATTAAAACAATTAACTATTACGACCTTGAATAGGTTCTCACCGTTTTCCAAAAGATAGCAACACCAGTACTATGAGTATTTAATCTGAGATGGTAACACAATTTTCTAAGAACTGTTGGTAAGCTTGGACTTCAGCCTATGGCAGTTTGACACAGTGTAAATAATGCTTTTTTTTTCAAAGCCCTAACAGTGTTGAATTTTGTGTCAATTAAAGGTTCAATTATCTGCAGACAATTTTATTTCATTGAGCTATTCAAAAGAAATCTGCAGCTGAAACACACCTGCTCAGTCGGAAAAGACATGTAGAGACTCATTTAAGTGCTTCAAAAAGAATGCTAAAGAACAACCCAATAAGTGAATTTAAAAAGTTTTTAAACCATGGCAAAAACATAATTGGACAAATGCATTACAATGAATAAGAATTACTTTGAAGGTGATCGAAATTTGGTGTCAAATGTGTATCTTTTATTTTTTGGCATTTTGTTGTATCATATTTCTTAACTGATTTTTGAAAAAAATCTTTTAAAATAAAGTTGAAAATAAATAAATAAAATAAAGCAGCAAATTAGTTTTCAGTCATCTAAAATTTGATAACATTGGTGTCCTTAACTTAATAATTCTATTTTTCACCGAACCAATTTTGGGCAACCGTTTTAAAAAATAAAACATTACAAAAATCGGCTGTATATATATTTTAAACTAGGTTACGTCTGTTAAGGAACTTACCTTTCTTTGAAGTTTTTATTGACAGTTAAAACAAGACAAATAGTGACAGATAATATGATATGCTTATAGTAGAAGGGATGTAAGCTTTGAAAGAGTGGTTTAGGACTTTTCCAGACTATTTATTATATTCTTAAAGGATACCGAAAACTGAGCGAGTTTATAAAAATTGATTATTTTACTTTAGTTAAACAATAAAATTTGGATATCATCTTAATGAAAAGATAAAACATTTGAAAATGTGTAATGATGGTTATCATAACCTTAAACTTTTAGATTATTTGAAATGAAATGACCCTAACATGTTTTTATCATTGTACAATTATATATTTAAATTTCTTTTTCATATTTAATTATATAATCCTACGGAATTTATTATTCTCAGTCCCAAAACTATTGAATCATGCTTATCTTAGCTGTAATGAAAACCTACACAGGAAACACATTAAAATAGTATATAACCTCAACCTGTGATTCATTTCTGACCATACCTACCAGTCATAACCTTGATTAATTCATAGTAGACGAAATCAATTATCTTATTTATAATTATCAACTATTAATGTATATGTCTCTTCATACAAGGTCATATTAAATGTGATAATTTCATAAAATGAGGGCGATGCCTATTTTAAATCCATTCCAAAATTAAATTTTTAATTTTAAAATGTTTACCTCTAAATCCACATCTGCTAATTGCTGAGAAGACTGAGTATCCTCAAGCTCATCCTGTGCTCCAGAATCAGGACCAGGGTCAGCCAAAGGTGATGATTCGATGGCAGATTCTCGCTTGATTGTTTCAGCAGAAAATTTCAAGAAATGATGTAGAGAAAGTGGAAGAGAAGCAGGAGGGATTCGGGAGAGATAGTCGGCCATGGCTGTCGTTGGAACTGGGACGGACACTGACTGCCACTGACCTGCATTTGCTCCACCACTGTTAGCACCACCACTGCTCGCTTCTCCACTAGAAAAATTTTCTGCAGCAGATTCTCCTATGAGTAAGTTTTAATAATTAAATTAATAATATATATTTCCGTACTAATGAACATACTCATTTTGATAGCAAACAATATATCTAGACATGGCTGCAAACACGCAATGTTTCATTATAATAATTCTACTTTATACTTAGAACACATTACTCCAATCTAACTTGGGTTAAGAAAGAACTTAGAATATGTTCTCACTGTTTCCTAACAGATGATGCTAATAGCAGGGTAAGCTTTTCATTTCAATGATAATGCAATTTTCCAAGAACTACTATTAGTAAACTTGGACTTAAAGCAACACAACAAGGTGGTTTTATTACATTACAACACTAGGTAGCATGTTGAAAACTGGTAAAAATCTACCCGGAAACACTTAAATGGAAAATCCTATTACACCTGCAGTATTCATGCAAGAAAGTAATAGGTAGGTAGTACTTCAGGCATAGTTAGAACTTTGAATGACATGTTCTTATCACTTATTTTAAATAAAGCATCGGATTTCACAAAAAAAAAAAAAAAAAAACAGTGAGAACTTATTAAAGGTCTTAATATATTAGAGTAATAAATATTTAGATTAATAGTACTAATGATTTTACATAGGCTTTAGTAATAGCCCTGGAGCCAGAGCCCAAAAATCGACCTCATCGCAGGCAAAGGTTTGATAGTAAATTATGAAAGTGTGTGTTATTCAAAGTAAAAAGAACCTTGTCTGCTGTTCCAGAGCCACTGCTTTAAAAAATGGTGGCTGATTTAAAGAATATTAGGCCAGTAATTTGAGGATCAAAACGGGAAATCCATTGCGAAAAATGTGAGAAAAGTTTTTATTTTTTAACTTGTATATATGAGTTTAGACGTGTAAAAAACAAAAAATCGCTAACGCGAGCCACCAAGGGAAAACTTTTTACAGCCAAAAAAGTCTGATTTTTTCGATATTTTTTTTTTTTTTGTTTTTTCACCTATAACTCCTAAACAATGCATTAAAGCAAAAAATGTACTTGTCAATAAATTAAATAATGAGTCGGACGAGTACATAAACTTTATGATTTGGTTACGTGATAAGGTATAAAACCACAATCAACCAATGCTGATTTTTACCCCAAAGTTGTCAAAAACTGAGAAATATGACTATAAATGGCCTTCTAACTTGGAAATGAGTTCCCTAAGAGGAAAAAAAACATAGAATCATAGTTTTAGAGAATCAAATTTTGCGTCCACTGAGTACTGACATTTTTATTTTAGGCCAATTATATATCTCGAATCGGGATTCGTTATCCTCTATGAACTTAAGGTATCATTCGACACATTGTTTATCAAAATCCTTCGCTGTTGTGAGGTAGAAAAGAGGTTTATACTGCATGTAACAGACTCTAAAACAAAAATAACTCATTAGAATAGACAGCCATACTGTTGAAATATTGAAAATTACATTTATCTTAATTATCAATTTCTAACCACCGGGAGATTACTGATTTTTTGTTCGGAGTAAGTGACCTACATTAAATTAGTTCGTACTCACTGGAAGCCAAATTTGATGCTCGACAACTTTGATTCTATGGGGTTTTCCTCTTAAGGAATTCATTTCCAAGTTGCAGGACCATTTATAATAATGTGTCTCAGTTTTTAAAAAATTTAGTAGGAGTGTTGATTGACCACTATTCCCATGTAATCAAATTATAAAGTTTATGTAGTCATTTGACGCACAATTTAATGTTCTTTAATATATTAAAGAATATATTTCCTCTCTTGATGCATTGTTGAGAAGTTATAGGTGAAAAAACAAAACAAAATATCGAAAAAATCAGACTTTTTTGGCTGTAAAAAGGTGGCTAACGTTAGCGATTTTTGTTTTTTTACACGTCTAAACCCATATATACAAGTTAAACAAATAAAAACTTTTCTCACATTTATCACAATGGATTTCCCGTTTTGGTCCTAAAGTTACTGGCCTACTATTCTTTAAATCAGCCACCAGTATTGAAAGAAGCGGCTCTGAAACAACAGACAAGGTTCTTTTAACTCAGAATAACATACACTTTCGTAATTTTCAATCAAACCTTTGCCAGCGATGAGGTCGATTTTTGGGACCTGGCTCCAGGGCTGTAAGGTGAGATTGGTTCAAGCAAAATATAGTAATATTTCAGAGTTGTGTTTGGTTGGTGCGAGCAGTCTCATATCTAAGGTGGACACCTGTCGTTTAGATAAAAATTCAATTTTCATTGTAAGCCTTCAATTTAATTGAAATCTGTTAATTTTTTATTTTCATAATTAAAGTTAAACAGTGTTTATTAATTCTATAAAGGATGTGATATCAATATTATTTAAAAAGTTAGCCAAATTCATCTTTGAAAAAACATGTCCATTTTTGAAATGAATAATCACAATTATCCCTTTATGAAGTAAACATGATTATATATGTACGTTTTTGAAACAAACGTGATTGTAGATGTCCATTTTTCATACTAATGACTCCTAATTACTACGTAACTAACTTATCTATGAACTCAGAAATTCAACTTAACTAATATTCTAAATATATTTTTAAGACTGGTAATAGAAAATAAAAAATTTAAATGTAACATTTGCATTTGGTTAAAGTTTTACAAATCATAAATAAATATACAAAATCAGATCAATTACAAAACTAGATCTCTGTCAAAATCTCCATCTGCATCGGCACATTCACAAACAGTATCTGGTAAAATACTACTATCCTGCCATTCTAGAGGATCAGAAGTTAAGATTATATTTTTGTATCATTTTAATCTGGAAATCCAGGATGGGATTTTACAGGAACTTTTTCCTGGGAATCGGATAACCAGAAATTGCACTTAATATAATTGATTTTCCATGTTTTTACAATTTTCTCAAAAACGAACGGCTCTAACAATTTTGATTAAACTCAGTGTATTAATGTATAATTCAATGGTCTTTAATACCATACAGATTTTTATCCCCATTCATGTTTCTTAACAGGGGTTACATGTCCAATTTTCAAAATTTCTTTCTAAAGTACCTTTGATTCATTTTGAATAATCAACTACCTTTCTCTCATTGTTACCAGAAATAATAAAAGGCTAAATATAAACTATAAAAGAATTTGATACTTAACTGAAGGAGGAAAAAGACAAAATTTTTTTTATGTTGAAAATGAATTTCCAGAAATAATAGTCAGATGGTATAAGTATAATACATGGCTGGAAAGCGGAGAATTTTAGAAAAAAAAAAAACAAGGGAAAACCCTAAAATAACAGGATAATTTAATTCTTCTTTGCTTAAGAAAAAGGATATTGAATAAGGATAAATAGCTGGGGGACTGAATTAATGAAACATTGTCAAAAATTATAAAATAAAATATTGATTGAAAATGGCCTTTAATTTATGAAAAATGAATTAATTGTTTGATTGGTTTGAAATGAAGCACAAATTCATAATTGTGAATTGTGGCTTTCTTTATAACAAAATATATATAGCATCAACAAAGTAGTGAGTACAGATTAATTCTATTAAGTAAATGTGAAAAACAAACTAACTCTTTAATATTTCAATTAGACTTGTTAAAAAAATCCCTCTTTAACATTTTTATAATCACTGCCATTCAATATAAATTATCTGAGGTAGATTTTTATTGGTTATTAGTATAGCTTTTCGGAAGTCTGGAGAACCACTAATTTTATAGTTTTTCTTCCAGACAAAGACTCTAGAGGGAAGAACGAAGAGGAAGTATATGTGTAATGAAAAATGCTAAAATAAAAAAGTTATGGATACACTTTAATGTACAAATCACTGAGATTGTAATTTTATATCTAAAATGAAAAGAATATTTCATTAATAAATGTCTAATAAATTATATTAAGATTAAAAATGTATAGGGTTGTTGAAAGAGATAATCTTCCCAACACTTCCAATTCCTCCCTCCCACAACCAAAGTATGGGGTCAGTTATTATTTATTTCAGAGGGCGAGTGGTCAAGGCGGTTCATCAACTATAGTCCCTTTGATTTGACCTATCTTTTATCTTTTATATGCTGATTAATCTAAATTCAGTTTTAATCTAAAATAAATCTACAATTTACCTTCTCTTTTTACTTGATCAGCTTTTTCTTTGTCATTTGTTTGCGAAGACTGGTCTTCTTTGTCAGCAGTAATAGTTTCCGTAGACGCTCGATGGAGAAGGTGAGTAACAACTGCAACCGGATATGCTTGAGTCTCACCACTCTCTTCTCCATTACCTTTGACATCGCCTGGCAGTACCTGTACACCATCCCACCGCTAGTGTGTCAGAAGTAAAACAAATTAGTTTACATAAACATTTTCATCTTCTAACTAAAGTTAAACCAAAATTCCTTCACTGACTATTTCATATTTATATATACAGTATTTAAGACAGTGTTAATTAATTAATTAAATAACTTTTGGATCCCTATTGAGAAAAAACTTCATTACAAAAACTGAAAAGGTATAATATAAGAACCTTTCTCTCCCTCATCACAATGAAAGAGTTTAAGAGACCCTTAAAAACCATTTATTCCCCCTTTAAATTATTTAAACTATTTAGATAACGATTCATAGATTACATGAGATTTTTTTCTTCCCTTCCAGACAGAATTCAAGAAATACCAAATACCATGAAAATGGATGTGGTTTTTGAAATTATCAAAACAATTAATACACTCTAATTATAGCATAATATGAAAACACAAATTCTTCATATATAATAATTTAGAAATTATAAGTAAAGTTTATTCATAAACTTACTACCATTGATGAATTTTAATATTATTTCTGCTTTCTGCACTCAATTCCCAATGTTTTACCAACCTACTGGCCCACTGACCTAACCGTAATCCTGATAGCCTCAATTTCTTTATCTACAAAGGTTTAAGTATCCTCCACCATTCCCTTGCACGTCTTGATGAGCTTTCCTCAGACCACAGCCCATTAATATTTCAAGTATCACCAGCTCCTATTTATTCCTAAACCCTCTCCACCATCTTTCATCAGAGGCCCAGTTAACTGGAAACTCTTACATCAAATCCTCTCTGATAAAATTGACCTCAGAGCAACCCTGAAAAACTCTGAAGACCTGGACAATGCTGTTCATCCCTTTACGACTAAAATCCAGAAAGCAGTATGGACTGCTTCCTCCCCTGATCACTCCTCAAAAATCCTCAAGAAACCCAATTTAACTCAACACCTCCTTGACCTATTCCATATACAACGCCGTGCCAGATTATTATGGCAACGTAACAGACATCCCGCCGGCCGCCACTCCTACAATTATTACTGTAAAAAATTAGAACAATAATTAGCCACCTTCAGATCCCAACCATTCAACTCCTACCTCACCACACTCTCTGCTCATGGTAATTCCCTCTGGAATAACATTAAAAGAATCCTAAAATCCCATTCCCTTCGTCGAGGTGATAGTACCTGGGCAGCGTCTGATGTAGACAAAGGCGAGGAATTTGCCAAGCACCTTTCCTATATCTTCACTTCTTATCTAGAATCTCATCCCACCCACACAGTAAAAGAAGAAAAATTCCTTTCTTCACCAATCCCACTCTCCTTACCATCTACAGCAGTTAATCGCTCTGAGGTCAAATACCTATTACGAAAAATCACTCCTCGTAAATCTCCTAGATACGACCTTCTAACCCCACAGATCCTATGACAACTACCATCCAAAGCCATCATATTTCTAACCTATATATAAAATTGTATCCTGCGAACTACCCATTCCACCATCATCCTTTTTCTGAAACCAGGCAAGCCTCCCAATAATACATCATCCTATAGACCAATTAGCCTACTCTCAATTCTTTCAAAAGTTTTTGAAAAGATCCCACTGAAAAGAATCCTACCCATAATAGATTCCCGAAAAATAACTACCCATCAATTCGGATTCCGTTCTCAACATTCTAATGTCCAACAAGGACTCCGAGTTGTTGATCACATATCCTCAGCCCTAGAAAACAAGCAGTTTTGTTCGAGTGCATTTCTGGACATAGCGCAAGCTTTTGATCGGCTATGGCACGCCGGACTGTTCTTCAAGCTCAAATCCCATCTACCACAGTCCTTATATCTAATACTCCAATCCTAACACTCCGAACGCTCCTTTCAAGTTCGCTGTGGAAAAGAATTTTCAGACTGTTACTAAATTGAGGCTAGAGTTCCTCAAGGCAGCGTCTTGGGTCCCACTCTTTACGTCATCTAAACCACTGACATTCCCGTCCATCCCGATACACTCCTGGCAACTTTCACTGATGAGACTGCTATCCTATCTTTTAACTCAGATCCTGAAACAGCGTCCATAAACCTGCAACGGCACCTATCCCTGATTGAACACTGGTGCAAGAAATGGCGCATCAAAGTCAACGAATCCAAATGTAAACATATAACCTTCACCCTCCGCCATAATTCCTGTCCACCAGTTTACTTTAATTCCATCCAGCTTCCCTTCTCCGACACAGTCCGGTACCTTGGTTTTCTCCTAGACAGACGACTAACGTGGAATACGCATACTAGATTGAAAAGACAGGAACTTAAACGACATTATGGCCAGCTATATAGACTACTTAATAGAAAATCTTAACTTTCTATTGAAAACAAACTACTGATCTACAAGACAATACTAAAACCCATCTGGACCTACAGACTAGAACCGTAGGGGACAACCAAACTTTCTAACATCAAACGCATTCAATCCTTCCAGTCCAAAGTCCTCCATACAATATTCGATGCTCCCTTCTATGTCACCAATAAAACCCTGCATAATGACCTTGATATTCCATTTATTCTTGATCTTATCCCAGACAAATTCTCCAAATTTCATCAGAACCTTACCCATCACCCTAATCCCGTAGCACAATCCCTATCTAGCACCATTAATTTCAATTCTATTTTATTCATTTATTTTTATTCTATTATTACTATTATTTATATTTTCTTCCTTCACTATGATTTTTTATTTTGTTCTTATTTAGCTTTATATTATTTTGAAATTACCTTATTTATTTATTTTTAATTTGTAAATATGGTGTGAATGTGCTCTCAGAGCTCTATTATAAATGTTCTTTATTGAGACAGATTGTAATATTTATCAATAAATAATCCAGAAAAAAAAATATATATATATATTATTTAAAACATATTTTATCAGAACAAATCACTTAAGGAATTTGAATTACTATATTAGTAAAAGGAATTAATCTGATATCTCAAAAGAGGTAGTAAAATCAAGTTCATCATGGCATGGTCTTAAGCTCAGTACTATGTTGAGAGGTGCTGATTCTTGGTCAATTTGGGTGGTGATTTGACTGAGATCATGCTTAACTGCCATGTTCTTCCCCTTAATTGATTAAGAGTACCCACTTTATAGAGACTGGGCATGACCCAGCAGGGTCTCCTGACCATAGGGTCGATCCACGCCCAATGAAACAGAATAAATAATTTAACTGTCATCAGCCGTATTCGAACCCAGGATCTTGAACCTTGGAAATCAGTATCCAACCCACTGAGCTAGCAAGTCCCCTACATTAAAAATAACAATAATAAATATTTTAACTTCCTAAAAAACTGACGTAAAATAGTCTAGCAATAGCAATAACACCTCAAGTATAATCTAACATGACATAAATTAGAAAATTTAAGCTCAAGTTGACAAAATATTATGAATTAAATACAACATCAAGATAAAATTGAAATCACTATAATGGAAGGAAAATGTTTGGAAAAATATAGGTGAGAAAACCTATAAACAAATTAACAAATTTACACCCAAAATTTTAGTTTCTTTATCCTTTTGCTTTTCTTAGGAAAAAAGTAGATTTATATGCATATTATCCATTCAACTAAAATAGCCATGTTGTTTATTGAATAATAACTATTTCTTTCTCTACCTCGAAGTCAAGTTACTGCAAAGCATAGTTAAATCGCTGTGATTGAATAACAATAATCATAATTTTAAATTAATAGCAGTAGCACTATTAAATGCTTAATGAAATTACCAGTTTTATCCATCATCTTTTAATATAACGTCTACTCATTATGACTCATTAGATACCTCTGGTAACGTTTTTTCTAAAAGATAAAAACTAAAACCAAATTGTAGAGTATTTTTTACATTTTACGTAATAAATACTAAAGCGCATTTGCATAGAACATATATGCACATGCTCTATAAATGCAGAAAGAATTTTAATGTTTAAAAGTTTTTGAAACCACTAAATTTAAACCAATATTATTTTTTTCCCCTAATGCTACGATGTATCTTACAAAGTATATATATATTTAGAATTATTTTGTAAGTAAATTAGAGTGTTACAGACAAACAAAATGATTAGTTTCAACTTAGTTCCGCAAAAGTTCATCCTCAGTCTGTCAATTAATTATGGTCGAGCTATAGTTATTTTATATTAGTGACAGGCATTTAATAACAAACTGACTACTGTTCAAAAGTTGATTTTAAACAGAAATTACATGAGATAGTTTGAAATTATATTGAAAAAATCATATAAAAAAATTTAGAATTACTGAATAGGAGATTATATACTACTAAAAATATACATACAATGGTGTCGTCTGAGGCACTATCTCCGCTACTTCCTGTTGTGTTGTTATTGTTATTACTGTTGGTGTTCGAGACTTCTGAGGGATCAGCTTGAAGCTGAAAAAAAAATTCAAAATTTTTGTTCTTCCTTATTACTTCTTTTAATAATACATTGTAGTAAGAGAAACTTTCAAATCCACAATACAAATATCTTAACTAAAAGTCCTGAAAATTTGGATTCATCCATATAATTGATCAGTTGACTATTTACCCATCTCTAAATTTTTATTAATACAAATAAATGAAAAATGAAATTGCTTTCTTTTATTCTATGGCATCTCTGGAAACTTTTCAATTTTTTTCAACTTATCTGTTATATTTTCTCAGTCTGGGTTTAAATGTTGAATAAGAAACACAGGATATTACAAAAATCATTATGTTAGTACACACACTGTAACTTCAACACTGCAATTCAATAGAAATATATTGTTTATATTATGTGTAATTAATTCCAATTTTATTCTTTTTATCAATTATCCTAGATAACAGGAAATCTTCTGAATTTTGAAAGAAAAACTACAAAAGAAATCAGAATTTCGTAAGCTCTTTGCTAGGTTCTATAAGTTAATTTATTATAGTAAAAATTATCTGATAATAATAGTACTACTACAGACTGTCATTAGAAACATTCATGAAGTATAAACCCTCATATCTTAAATGTATTTTGATAAAACATTGCTAAAATAATATTATATGTAAACCAATTTACCTGCAATTGAATAGCCTCTCCTTGTTCATGGTGAGGATTGGAATAAGCGACGGTTAGAACAGTAGCACCACCCTGTTGGAATGGTTGTAGAGATATTGGCAAGGCATATTTTTCAGATCCACCACCAGCTCCAGGATTAGGATTCACAACTTGAATTTGCAATGTCTGTTGTTGGGGCAAATCTCCTGGTTTAGCTCCAGGCACGCTAATAGGTAAAGTGATAATCTAAAAAATTATAATCAATTAGAACTACAATAGATTAATATTATGTTCATTAATAAAGACTAAAAACAGTTAAATGACAAAATGTTCACATTAGATCAATTTTCATACCTAAATGGTACAGAGAACTAACTATAATTAGAGCAAATAGACAAAAAATAGGATAAATAAAATACATAATAAAAAATACACAGCAATTATTAATAATGTTCACAACGTTATTTGTTTCAACAAAGTGAAAGTTATAACTTTAGTGGTCATTCATACAGCAATACATGTAGTTAATCATGAAATAATAACTGCAAAACAGAAAGCATAAATATTAATATAAATAACAAACCAATGACAACTAACAACCTAACCTGAAGGCTATCAAAATAACAGTGATAAAAAATTTCACAATGAAACCTACCTACATATAAATGAACAATAATTTACTACTTATTATATGTTTCATACCTGAGGACTACCATCAGTAGCATTTCCAGTTGCTTGTTGAATATTAAATGTAAGACCATTTGCATCAACTGGCCTTAGATATGTTACACCAGCTTCATCTGCAGAAAGAACCCCTAAGACCTGACCACCGCCGCCACTGACTTGGTGTGCAAATTTAGCAGTTGTAAATTGTGCTACTGCACCAGCATTCGGTAAACTACTGCTGAATGTTGTACCAAATGGAGTAAAATTCATCTTTAAAGAACTGAATTAGCTCAATTAATTTCCTGCAAACCATAATATATACTGCAAATTGAAACAACACTAAACTGGGCCAAAATAAAAACTTAATTTCTCTAAAAGCTCACTAATATCATTAAGATAAGAGTAGATAAGTTGCACAATAACTTATAAAAATAAAATATTGAAAACAATGGTTAATATATTACATGGTTAAAGTTGTATAAATGTACATAACCTAAAACTTTATTAAAATATAATCTTATACATCAAATCTCAAAATGATTTCAATAGCTCAAAATTACAAAAGTAATGCATATTTTGTAGGACCAAACCCACTGTCTCTGCCAAGGTTAAGGCAATGGAGACTATATTAACTCAAAGTTTAACTAAGATTGAATTAGGTTAGATGACTTTTAACCATGCAAAATGAAATAAATCTTCAGAAGAGTAAAAGCATATGTCTCTTAACCAGGATGTTTGAGACCTACTTACCTAAAATTCAGAGCCACTTTCTCATTTCAATGCATATGAATTGTCATCTACAACACAATGATGTGTACATTTTTCCAAAATACATAACAATAAACACAACAGAATCTAACAACTAACAATTTTTTCATCAGGTAAACGTAAAAATAATTTAAAATATCATGAATGTGTTTGAAGAACGTAAGCTGCCATAGCCTAGAAAAGCGGTGAACCCCAAAAATAGGGTCACGTAGGGCCTCAAGTTATGCCGTTTATATATGTCTACATAACACTATTCACCACTTTTCTTTAACAGTCACCTTAGAGGATGTCTCCACATTGTCAAAAACTCAAATTAAATCCATCAGTGAACGGGATAACAACAAAATAACGCAAAATACAGAAGTGACAACAAACTAGAAAAACACCTGCCTGGCTTGCTATATTACGTTGTTTTCATCGTCGAAATGTAGGGAGCGACACTGTCTCGATTAAACAAGCAGTACTTCCGCCACGACGATGTACAGACACTCCCTTACGTATAAAAGTTGACTTAAGGGGGCAACAACCTTCTAATAATTACCTCAAAATTTTAATTTAAAAAAATAAAGAATTTTTGGTAGTAATATATTTCTTTTAAAATCACAAAACCATAAATTTTGGGTAAAAATATCACAATTTTTTTTTGGAATGAAAGTTTATTAAAATTAAATGTACAATACAATTTTTATATAAATGGATTAAAGTTCAAAAAACAATAAAATAAATAAATTCAAACATAATTAATATCATACAAGTAAATCACATCATTCACAAATACTTGACTTTATTTGATCACAATCATAAATACAACTTATAAGTTTCAACTTATAATTAAGCAACTTTGGATTAGAAATGATTATTGGGTGTTGTCATGTGTGATCTTTGAGATCTGTGCATATATAATTCATACAATAGTCGATTGCTTTCATAATAATAAGGATTTTCTGCAGGGGTAAGATCAGGGTTATAACATTCTACACCCCAAGACTGAGGATCTGTCTCAATAGTTGAATCAATATTTCTGGAACTTCCAGCATCAAAATCACCCAACCTTCCATTCATCATGGCTCTGTGTACATCCTTAAAAAAAAAAAATAATAGTTATTAAACACTTTAGAATATCTGAAATCATAGATGTCATTTATTTTACATAATTTAAAAATAAAGAATAATTAGTAGAAACAAGGCTATTTTATGGATTAGATCTGATCAAACTTGACTATTAACAGCTCATTTTATTTTATTTTTCATTGTGCAACTATGTACTAAATATAATTACTACATAATTTGGAATTTCACAATGTACAGATAAATATGATAACAAATATTAAAATTATTCATTACCAAGGCTCATTAGACATTATTTACATTTTAAAAAAAACAGATGATGGAAGGTTTTATTATTATAAAAGAAATAATTAAAAAAAATAATCCAAGATGATAAATTTAATTTGTTTTATATTTATGAACTATGATTTACCTTACTCGAAAAATCAGAACTATTTTATTTTATTTTGTACTGGGTATTTGAATCGAGTGATGTGGAAAGTGACAGAAAATGATGACAAGAAATTGCGCATCACTAAATTCAAACATTAGGTATAGGACCCTAGTTAAGATCTAGCAACTTGCACCGACAGATTAAAACAAAATTTAAATATTGATAATTATACCAAAATATTTTGGATTTGCAATTCTGGATAATTAACTGTTTGAACATGCATCAAAAATCATTTTTTTCTATTTCTATCAATTTGTGCATGTCTCTTTCTAGGGATTTCATTTTCACTAGGTGCATCAGTCAACTGCTCTAATCCATCTAGAAAATTTGATAAAAAAATCTCTTGAAAGTTTTTTAAGATTTCAGTGTCAGAAAAACTAATGATATCTAGTCTCAATAAAGCAAGATCTTACGACAACCTGCAAAATGATAATTCAAGATAGATTATGATTGCTTGTTACATCAAAGATGGAAACAAATTCAATAAAAATTATTAACTCATAACAAAATCAATTTTAAAAGTGGTCCCTAACCTACGCCTAAATTACTGATCATCAATAGATTTAATTGAAGTTATTAGCCATGAATTTAGGAACTTGCCCTAACAATTACCCTGCTGTAATTCAAGTAATGAATCCTTTCAAAATCATCCATCACTAGTAGAAATGACCAAAAAGTGAAATATATCTAAATATGTAAACAGCATGTTAAAAGTTTTAACTTGGCCTATACTGAGACATTTTTAAAACTTGAAGAACATAATCACTGAATTTACAGTAAGAGTTTTATTAAGGAACGTTAACAATTTAAAATACAGCTGTCCAGTGAACTTTTCTCATTTTCAATCTTGGAAAATTTAAAATAAAGTTAAAATCTTCATACAGGTAAATTCAATAAGAATCATTAACACAACAAAATCGATTATTTATAAGTGGTTCCTAACCTAAGTCTAAATTACTGTCCATAGCTGCTGAATTTAATCGATGGAATTAGCCCTCACAATTATCCTGCTGTAATTCAGGTCATGAATTCCTTCAAAATCGCCTGTCACTGGCAGAAATGACCAAATGGTGAAATATTCCCAGCATCTCAAAAGGTTAAACTTAGCCTATACTGAGAAATTGAGACACATCCACACTATTTACACTTCATAACATTTTGAAGTAAATGAGTGATTGAAAGAGCGAAAAAGGTCAATATACTAAGCACTGAGATTAATAAATAACAATTATCATGATCAATAATCAATGATTATATTATATCATTGACAATACAATTATAGTGTCACACTGGTAACAACACTGTCAACAAATAACATTCTTGTCACTCATTCAACAACACAGACAAAACTTGCACATCAAACATTGAATTAAGTGATGTTCATAGTTAACTAATCCCAAAGAATAATTTATCATTAATACATAACCAACATGACATGGGCGACATGAGGTGTCAACAAGACTTTGTTGACATAAGGTATTTTTGTAGTAAATAACACATTAAAAAAAAAAAAACAATAACTTAAAGAGCCCAAAATAAAAAAATTATGGAAAACTAAGCCGGTACACTCATTATAGTCAACAAACATTGAGAGCGCACTGATGGGATAAAAAGAATTGTGGAAATCATGTATGCATACAAATGAATAACAAGCACATTTCACTCAACAGAACTTTGTCATTCTACACTCACTGGTTTTAATTCTTCTAATGGTACCTGCTTCACAAATGGAAAGAAAGAATTGTTGATATGCAAATTATTAATCCTTTTTGATAATGGTGTAAATTCACTTATTTCATCCTCACAAAGGTAACGCTGTCTTTTCCTGCAATAAATACAAATAATCTTAACAAAAATACATCAATTTATTCATAATGTTCGGTATATTTTAAAATAATAAATAAGAATCAGAATTATTTTATCTAAAATATTTACCTAGTTCCAGAATCAGGAAGGGCCATGGTGTTTACTGTAAAACGAACTTATTTATTTATATAATATAGTGGCTTCATTTACATACTACTATTTAAATGGTTAAGTCCAACTCGAGAAAATAATGGGACAGACAGAACATCACCCATCAGACAATACACATTATTAACCCCTGTTTAAATCCATGGCCTGAATGATTGAGTCAAAATAATTGCCAACATCACAATAATTAATGTACCTATCAAAAATGTAAACAATAACTGAATTCCTACTATAGCATATAGTATACAATATATATATAATAAATAAATAATATAGAATTATTACTAAGAAATATAACATTATTACAAACCCAAAATAATTTGAAAGAACAATCACAATACAACTATTTTATTGTCTCATCAAGTTTCTCTAGTTATCACCATAGTAATAATCAAATAAAACCTAACAAAACTTTAAGTTGGATAAAGTGTGTGTAATCCATAGGTTTCGCGTTTTCTTTATATTATTTATAAAGAATTCTTTATATTATTTCTTTATATTTATTATTCATGTATTTTCCTATTTTTAAAGACCATGCCATTTTTCGGTAGGAAATTTACAACTTCTAAGCTGCCTAAACGTAAAAAAATACCTTTTCATTCTGAGGTAAGAATCCCAGAAAATTCAGAAGAGCCTATAAAAATTAAACTTGGGTCTCTGGAATCGACGTTCGTTGATGGCGAATGGAAACCTGGTGAAGTATTATTATTTGGAATTAAGTTACTGAATTATAATGTAAAATATATACGTACATGAATGTATTGTTTAAACTTTTAGAACCCAACATCGAACTGTTTAAAGAAAATGCATATTTGAAAGAAGTATCAACCCATTTAAAAGAAGAAAACAATTTACTAAGAATGAAAATAGAAATATTAATAGATATGGTAAGTTTCATAAGATTTATTATTCCTTATTAGATTTGCCATTTAACGTTTAAATTCTTCCGCCTTCATCTGTAAATCTCGAGTTGTCATGTAATATATTCGATGATTTAGAGAAAGCAGTCGAGGTTTATCTAATGGGTTCTTTTAAAATTACGGTGACAATTAAGACATTAACACAGACTATACTATAAGAATTACGTGTTAGAGTATAGGCTATATTAACGCCAATTTATAATAATTTTATTTTATATATCGTGGGTAAATAATTGTACTGTTTAGTTTTGTTACATTTGATAACTTCAATGCTTTAATTCCCTGTACTAAAGCTGAGGAATTTCTAGGTCTAAAAAAAAACCAGAAAAGATCTTGAATTCATGTGGCTCCAGGGCTCAAAGCAGGATAGAATTTTCATTTCCCCTCGTTTCGCGTAACTTTTAAAAATTTCTACGAAGTGAACATCAATGACAATAACACTCATAAAATGAACCAGCTTCATTAAATGTAAACGTTCACTTGTTCAAAATCGCTAATCTCCGAAAGTTCTTCACTGATTGTTTTGTAATTTTGACACAACGTTGCAATCGAATTCAGGAGTGTTTTCTATTTACTTTTCATTACTATTTGGCCTTTAGTTTCGAAATGGTAACCTAAAAACTTTTTTCCCAATTGAAAAACGGCAGCAGCGATTTTAATGAAACTTCGCTAAACTCTTCTTGAAGCCTTTTAATTCATGTGCACATACAGTGGATCAAAAAAGTATTGCCACACCCGACTTTTTATGTTTCATTGTGAAAAAATCCAAAGTTGAATAGCTAAACATTTTTATTTAATAAAAGATTTTAAAAAATACATAATTGGAAAAACGATTTAAATTTGCTTAATTAAAAAAATCAATTTACGAGAAATCACTTTGATTCAGTCGTGTCGGAGCCGCCTTCTGGGGTCTCAGATAATCAGCTACAATGATTATTTACAAAGGAGTAGTTTTGGGTATTCTGAGATATGCGTCCCAGCCAGGAACCTAAACCTCTAGCACCGACAGAAGGGTAGGCTAGCATCGATTCAGAGATTGGCTTTGCTTCGGGTCACTAGAGCGTATAGAACGGTATCTCATAAGGCAGTGCAAGTACTGGCAGGGGAGACACCTCTCGATCTCCTAATGCGAGAAGGCTATCACCTCTTTAAAATGAAAAGAGAAGGGTCTGCGGATCTAAAGATGAGAATTGAAGAAGACCCAAGATCATGGAAAAGAATTATCAGGGAGGATACAGTTGATGAATGGAACCGGCGATGGATGGCAACTCCGAAGGGAGCTGCCCTAAGATATTACTTCCCCACGGTCAAGTCACGATTAGATGCTATATGGGTCCTCCCCGATTACTGGGTGTCTCAACCCCTCACGGGACACGGGGGTTTCCGAGCGAAGCTCCTTGAACACGGGAAGAATATTGATCCGCTATGCATCAACTGCAACGTTCCAGAGACCACCGAACATGTGGTCGTCGAATGCACTCCCTATGAGGCACTAAGAACTAAGCTCCTTAGAGAGACGGGGATATATAATCTGACAGAGAGCATGTTCTCCCAGTTAATAAGCAGAGAGAGAATTACCCACATTACAGGGAATTCGTATACGGGTGGGAAGATGCCATAGGCCCTTCACATTTTAATCTGGGAAGAAAAGAAGGAAGTTAAGACAAGCTGCAGCTACTTCGAGGACCGGTTTCAGGTGGAAGAATGGAGAAAAAGAAAAGAGTGAGCTTGTGCACACAAACAAGTATACACTTCATAAATAATAATGTTCACAAAAATTTTAATTAAATTGACCTATTAATTAGCCATTGCCATCTATGATGTGGCATTTTCTTGGCATCGTCAAAACAAAATTTTGAGTTAGGTCTAGTCCAATTATACACTATTTCTCTGACAAAGTTTCTTTTAAATAATTTTTTAAAGATTTTTTTATGTACAGTGATGGAAAAAAGTATTTGCACAACACGTTTTTATGAATAAATTAGTTCAAGGAAACAAAAAACTTCGCTTTCCTTTGCAAAAATGAAAAGTAAATTTATTAAAACCTGAAAAAACCTTTTTACAAAAAATAAAAACACTTCATAATCAAACAAAATAATTAAAACAGTAAAAGAGCTTGGAAAATAGTATTTGCACACTTCCACATTTACAAATTTATTTTAAATTTTAATAAAAGTTTTAATATTTTGTAAATAGGCCATTTGCGTCAATAATTGCTTGTAGACGTCTGGGCATTGGATGCACTTGGTTTTTAATTAAATCTACGTTTATTTGTTCTCATTCTTGAACAAGAAGTTGTTTAAGGTGATGTCCACTAGTGACATGGTGTTTTCTTACATTTTGGTCAAGGGTGTGCCATAAATTTTCAATGATAATTATATCTGGTGACTGAGGAGGAGTGTGGAGCTGTCTTGGAACATTAAATATTAACCACTTTTTTGTTCTCCTCGCAGTATGTTTTGGATCGTTGTCCTGCTGAAAATATTACTGATCCTGGATTCCCATTTTTTCGGCACTAACACACAAATTACGTGGCAAAATGTTCACACAGCCTTACGCATTTATAGCATTTCCAAGTCAATTTCAACCATTTCCAAATCAAATTCAACCTTTTCCAAATCAAATTCAACCTTTTCCAAGTCAAATTCAACCTTTTCCATTTCAAATTCAACTTTCGAATTTTTGTCAATTTTCGATTTTTTTCGAAATGAAGGCCACTTACTATATTATCGAAGGCATAGCTTTTGAAAAATACAAAAAAAATTTGATAACGCGGTTGCATATCCATTTATTTTAACATTTTAGATTTTTTCAGTGTGATATTTTTATGTCATATTCAATTATTTTCAAATCAAATTCAACCTTTTCCAAGTCAAATTCAACCTTTTCCAGATCAAATTAAACTTTTTCCAAGTCAAATTCAACCATTTCCATTTCAAATTAAACCTTTTCCAATTCAAATTCAACCGTTTTCATTTCAAATTAATGTTTTAATTTTTTGTAAATTTTATATATTTTTTAAAAATAATGGCCATCCCCTCCTCCCCTCCAATATGAAAGTCTATTATTATGCTCTCCTAAGTAGAATTTTAACTTACGGATATCGATTTATTGTACCTATTCGGATTTATTAGGGACTAGTATTATGCTGTCCTGTACCTAGTTTTGAAAATAACCTCCATTTTAAGATTACGTGACTGCGTTTCGAATTATTTAAGTTTTTTTTACTTATCCGATATAAGGGTGTCTTTTTATGTTTCCCGATCAGTAAATTTTGAAAATGGCATCCATTTTATGTTTACGCCACTGTGTTTTGACTTGGTGGTGTGTTTCCTACCATGGCGTGGAAAATCTTGTGAGCATCGAAGGCATTATATAGCATTTCCAAGTCAATTTCAACCTTTTCGAAGTCAAATTCAACCTTTTCCAAATCAAATTAAACTTTTTCCAAGTCAAATTCAACCTTTTCCATTTCAAATTAAACCTTTTCCATTTCAAATTCAACCTTTTTTTATTTATTTAATTATCTTTAATTTTTCGATGTGTGGGTCTGTTATTGTATGAGTAGTTTTTGAAAATAACCTCCTTTTTAAGATTACGTGACTGCGTTTCATATTATTTAAGTTTTTTTGACTTATCCGATATAAGGGTGTCTTTTTATGTTTCCCGATCAGTAAATTTTGAAAACGGCATCCATTTTATGTTTACGCCACTGTGTTTCGACTTATTTGAGTTTTTCGGATATTTTTCATATGAGGGTGTATTTTTATGTTTCCGGAGCTGTAGATTTTGAAAATGACCTCCTTTTTAATATTACGTGACTGCGTTATGACTTATTTAAGTTTTTCGAATATATCCAATATTAAGGTCTACTTGTATGTTTCTTGTGCCGTAGATTTCGAAAACGACCTCCATATCATGATTACGGCATTGCATTTTGACTTATTTAAGTTTTTAGAATTTATCCAATATAAAGGTCTACTTTTATGTTTCCGGAGCCGTAGATTTTGAAAACGACCTCCATTTTAAGATTAGGCTACCGCGTTTCGACTTATTTGAGTTTTTCGGATTTTTTCATATGAGGGTGTATTCTTATGTTTCCGGAGCCTTAGATTTTGAAAACGACCTCCATTTTAAGATTAGGCCACCGCATTTCGATTTCTTTAAGTGTTTCGAATTTTTATCATAAAAGAGTGTATTCTTATCTTTCCGGAGTCGTAGATTTTGAAAATGACCTCCATTTTAAGATTACGCCACTGCGTTTCGGCTTATTCAAGTTTTTCGAATTTATCCAATTTAAAAGTCTACTTTTATGATGCCGGAGCCTTAGTTTTTAAAACGACTTACATTTTAAGATTAGGCCACTGTGTTTCGGTTTTTTTAAGTGTTTTTGATTTTTCCTTCGAATAAAAAACAAAATACGAAGGATTAATTTATTTTTCAATAAATAAATAAAAATATCTAATCAAAATAAATAAAATATGTATTGTATCATTTTTGATTTAATTTTAGTTATCTTTTTTAATGTTGTGGTCTCCTGTCACAAAATTATAAGATTTCGAACAATTATCTGAAAAATCTGAATACGGTAGGTTAAATTTATTACCAGTTGCTTTTCGGCTTTTTAGTTTGTATTCTGTGGTTAATTTAACTTTAGCTTCATAATATTTATTTATTTATTTATTTATTCATACTCGAAAACATATTGATGAAACTTTGTATTGAAAAAATCCAAAATGAAGCCTAATTAATCGAGATGCAGCGGCTTAATCATAAAATGAAGCTTAAATATTAGATAAATTTAAATATTAATGATTAGAAAAATTTCAATATGTCTCCGATAACATATAAGTAGATCCTTATACCGAAAAAGTAAAAAAAAAAACTTTTATAATCCAAAACACAGTGGCATAAACTTAAAATTGGGTCATTTACAAAATGGGGAAAATCTACTGCTCCAGAAACTT